GAGGGAGAGAGAGAGAGAGAGAGAGAGAGAGAGAAACTCATGTAAGTCACATTGGTCTCAAGTACTCCTGGCTTCATCCATCTCTCAGGATAACAGGCATGCACTATCGTAATCAGCTACTTCTCTCTTTAAGTAGTCATCTAAAATAGGACTGAAAATCAATTAACTGTGAGAAAGTAAGTCAAAGCTGAATAAATGAGATGTACTATACAGTTTCAGCCATTTCTTATAGAATTTTAAAACCATGACTGCTTTTCTTTTTTTTTTGAGATAGGGTGTCATGTAACCCAGGCTGGCCAAAAGTATGTAGACACTGAGGATTATGACCTGAATTCCCGTCTCTACCTTCCAGCATGACTTCGTAGTCGACACAGCAATACACGGAGAAAGCACAGTGTTGTGCTTTTTCCCAAGGTGCCCTTAAAACATAAAAAGGGCCTGGGGGCTGGAGAGACAGCTCAGTGGTTTAAGAGCCTGGCTATTCTTGCAGATGACCTGGTGTTGGTTCCTGGCACCCCTGTGGCAGCTAACAACTATCTGTTAACTCCACTTCCAAGGGATCTGATGCCCTTTTGGCCTCCACAGGCACTGCATGCAGATAAACCACGTTTATGCATTAAAACAAAACAAAAACCGACAGAAAAAAAAAAAAAAAAAAAAGACTAGCCATGCATGGTGGCAAACACCTTTAATCCCAGCACTCAGGAGGCAGAGGCAGGAAGATCTCTATGAGTTCAAGGCCAGCCTGCTATCTTGACATAGTAAGTTCCAGGACAGCTGGGGCTACAGGAAGACCCTGTCTCAAAAAGACAGAAAAACAACAAATAAACAGAAACCCAAAATGGCTTGTGAACAAGGCCTATAGCCAGGGCTCAGGATGAAATGACGTGCCTGGAGTATTGGCGGTGGTGGTAATGAGAAACATGTGAGAACCACAAAACTCAATAGATACCATCAGAAAGTGATTTCTCTTTCTCCATCACCATCTTCAAGATTTCCATGTCTCTTCTGGTTAACTAACTTTCCCCACTGCATCCCACCCTTGCTACTTCACACCAGTCTTCTTATCCAGCTGGTGGCCCTGCCCAACTTCAGTGTGCTGCTGACCAAGACTATGAATCCTCACCTCTTGTTCAATCCAACAGTCACTTTTCAGACTATCCTTCATGGTCTCATGGCTGGGCTAGACACTGTGGAACACCTATCCTTTTGAGATGCCACCTTCACTGTGGTTACCTCTCTTTACACACCTGTCTTTCTGGTCCCCTTTGCTTTCTCCTCACATTCCCCACATCACTATACTGGGTCTTCAATCTGACCACCTTCCTGAGCTCAGCATGCTGACATTTCTGCCAGGATGACAGAAACACCTGAAATAATGTATTCATGGCATAATTAATCTTCCCTTGGGAATCTCTTCTGTTTTTCTAGTTTAAAAAAAACAAAAACAAAAACCAACCTCTTGAGACAGGTCTTACTCTACAGCCTAGGTAGGTCTCAAAACTGGGCTGGCATTATAGGCATGAACCTCCATGCCCAACTCCCAGTCAACTTACTTGTGCTATTACCCATCATTTTGCAAGAAACCTAGTCATTAAGATTCTCCTAAGGGATCCCTGACTCCTATTTTAAAGTTCTTTCTAAAACGAACCATATGTACTTCCTGCTGACAGCATAGAACACTTCTCAACTGGACTATTCCAACATCCATCCACCTCTAATCACATTCAGGATGTAGCCAGAGTAAACGACAAAGTGGTTGCTCCAAGCTCTCCCAAGTCAGGCTGTCCACGCCCACCACCACATTTCCCCAATTCCCCAAACAGATGGTTTTTCTTATCTTTGAAACCGACATGAAAAGAAAGGGAGTCACTAGGTGTCACTGTGCATATCTACAATCTCAGCCCTGGGGAGGCTAGGGAAGGAGGACTGCAATGAGGCCAGCTTGGGCTCTGTTTAAAAACTTACTGCCTTTACTTGTGTGGAAGAGAAAAAAAAAAAGCAACTCAAATGTATCATTCTAAAGTTGCTCTAATCTGCCTTTGTTTACCTACTTGGACCCATTCCCACCTGACCGGGGACTTCCACCAGCATTCTCACCTCAGGGGCATTGGGTGGAGGCACCCTCACGCTACCATGCTTATTTGGTTGGTTACATATTGATGCTCAGCTTGGCCATCTCTTTCTGGATGCTGCTTTTCTACCTACTGTACATAGAGCATCAACACAGTACCTGTCATATTACTGTGTTTCCTACACTATCACCAATACCTAATGTTTATTAATCATACACCATTGCTAAGATACCATGTTAACTACTTTCCATAGATTATTTGCTTTTCACTCACAACTTTATTAGGTAGGTAATATTCATTTTTAAAATATATTTATTTATTTAGACCTTTTTGAGACAGGGCCTCCCTGTAGCCCTAGCTGGCCTTGAACTCAGAGATCTCCCTGCCTCTGCCTCCCCAGTGAGTGCTGGGATTAAAGGCACGTGCCACCACACCCGGCTATATTTTATTTTTTAATTTTATGTGGATGAGTGTATTGCCTGCACGTAGGTAGGTGTACTCTAGCCATGCAACGCCCAGAGGTTAGAAGAGGGTGTCAGATCCCCTGGAACTGAAGTTACAGACAGCTGTTAGTGGCCATGTGGGTGCTAAGAATTGAACTCGGGTCCCCTGAGAGAGCAGCCAGTGGTCTTAACTGCTAAGTTAGCTCCTGCAGCCCAGGTAGATAATATTCTTTAGATGGGAAACCTGAGGCCCCAAATAGACAACTTGCCCAAAGTCATGCAGCTGCTGGATGGGAGCTCAGTCACCTAGCTGCAGCATCTGACCCCGCACCCCTTCAGTAATCTATGCTTCATCATGGGTTTCTGGGGAGCAGGAGAGTGAATGCTCACTGATGCTTGCTCTGGGAACTAGCAAGGCCACCTGAGATGCTGATGGCTGTGTAGATGGTTGGAATCGTGTGTGGCCCACTGAATAATGCTGACACCACACATGATGCCCTGTGGCTCTTCACAGCCAAAAGAAGTCGGAAAAAGGCAAAGCCCCTTCTTTTCTCCCCATGTCTTTCATAGGCGCTAATGTACTGACTACAGAATCAACAACAAAAAAAGTAAGTCAGGAGTGGCCTTCACCTTTCCTTGCAGGGACAGAAAATACACACAAACCTCACAGCTGGGAGGCAGAAAAGCTGTTCCAAGATACACTAACCTAATTTATTATTACTAATAAAAAATGCTGAAGGCAGCTGGGCGTGGTGGCACACGCCTTTAATCCCAGCACTTGGGAAGCAGAGACAGGCGGATCTCTGAGTTCAAGGCCAAGACCAGCCTGGTCTACATAGTAAATTCCAGTACAGCTGGGGCTACAGGGAGACCCTGTCTCCAGACACCCCCCCCCAAAAAAAGCTGAAGGCAATCGCACTTTTTTGTCTTCTGGCTTAATATTTGTTTTGTAATACAAAAAGAAAAAGAAGGTTCACTTTTTAAAACACAAATAACTGATATAATAATTAATATTGATTAATAATAATTACTTGTAGTCTGGGCTGGCCCGGAACTCACTTTGTGGACCAGGCTAACCAAGAATTCGACCACCTTTCTGCCTCAGTGCCTCGAGCTAGGCTTACACCAGTGGGCCACCACTCCCCATCCCAGGCTAAAGTTACCATCCCATTTTACAGGAGGGGAAACTGAGACTCAACCGGTTCCTCAGACAGCCAGCAGCCTACAGGCTGCAATCCTAGCTTCTGTGGTCACCAGCTCTACCCGTGACATTGCGCTCCCCAGAGCGTGAGGAGCCAAAGCAGCACTAACCCACAGCCGAAAGACTCCCTGGCTACTTCACTTTCCAGCAGGGCCAGCCCAAGAACACCGAGCCCGGACGGCCGCAACTCTCCACCCCCGAGCCGGGGTCTCGGCAGAAAGGACTCACCTCTCACACCCGAGCCACAGCGCCTGCGAGGTCTGCGGGGCCGCGACTCACGGCCGGCAGCCACGCACCGGCCGCCCACTGCCCACTTCCGCCGCCGAGCGCCCTCGAGAGCTCGCGGCCGCTCTGCATGAGGGCGCCCGGCGGGGCGCGAGGGCTCCAGGCGCGTGCAGCCGGGGACGCCACGTGCGGGGTCTCCCGGGCCCGCGGGAGG